TTTGAATATTGTTCAGGATCATGAGCTTTACAACATGTATCAAGATCATGATCATTCGAGATTGTTTCTTTTATTTTTATTTTTGAAAATTATTTTTATTTTTTGAAAAAAGAGAAATATTCTCCAATAATCATGACACATGTTGTCAAGATCATGATCCTGAACAACATTCAAAAGTATCAGCCATTGTTCGGACACCTTGGATAATGCTAATGTCGACAGTACTCTAACTTTCAACATAACTCAAGATTTACTTAACTAAAATATATTTTATCTATGTGTTTTGGAAAGCTCTCGAAATAAGCTACAAGAATATGCAACGAAAAATGGGAGGGGGTTTCATTTAAAAAATTCAAAGTGACCTTGTGCAGTGTGCTGACCTTGACGACGCCATTCAGAGTCAGACCAATGTTATCATCTTATGTTCCCATCGAAACTCTACAACTTTTGTCTGAAACATTTTTCTCTCAAACCTCGCAATTTCCAAATATGTGACTGTTTAATATAAAATGGGACACTTACTGTATATATGTATGTATGTATATATATATGTAAAAATAGTTTAAAATAAAATTAACTGTTGTATAACAAGATGTAATATATAGAAAAAAATATTGGTCTAATAATAAATCATAAAATTAATAATATATTATTGACTAATTAGTAATTGCTTAAATTTTAGCAATTGCTAAACAGCTACGCTAACTCTGTAAGAATGTTGGTCTTTAATAGTATTTCGTCAGTGATCATATATGTAAAAAATGCATAAAACGGAACGCATCTTTTAATTAGTTTCATTTTCGATCATAGATAGCAGCGGTGAACAGCGAATACAGTAACGCCATCTTCGAGCGATTCGACGAATCATACTTATCTCCTATCTTCATACGTGTGCGCTATTTTTGTTGCTTGTGGTCACGACAGTGATAATATACGTTTGACGTAACGTCTTGGACACGGCGTAGTATATAATTTTATTTACGAAAGACTCTCTCTTCAACAGGCATGAATATGATCACCGCGAAATAATTTAATGGTAATAGTCCTTGTTATTTATTTAATATAAAATATATGTATGTACAAGTACATACAAAACACTTGACGCTTCGTTAGAACTGAAAAGAGAGAGAAAATTAAAAATCTTTTTTTGAATGTAATATTTAATTGTATATTGTAATTTCCTGCGAAATATATTGACCTTCGACGTTTGCACGATCAAAAACCAAATTTGTAACTGTAATTGCGGTTTCTTCAATAGGTTAGAGATAGACTGCTTTCGTTCCTACTTTATTATGTTATGTATATACATATATCGAAGATGACAGTTCTGATTGTGAGTCGGTTGAATTTTTACATACTTGACGGAAAGAAAAACCTTTCGCTTCTCTGACAAACTCATCGGAGATTAATGTGATGTAAATGTCGTCCGAATAATTAATTCCATACACATTATAAAATTGATAGTCAACGCGCTCAAATCCTTTTCTAGGCAATATTGATTAGGAATTGAATACGAAAGTATATACTTGTTTTTGTCGAACGAAGCAAAATGATTCTTGACGCGTTAGTCTGGTTTACTTCGTTAAGACGCATTTCATCAATATAAACTGATCGCAATTTTGCATTACGAAAGACAAGTAGCTTATATTTGCAAAGCGCGAATGAAAATTCAAAGCAAATTTTATTAGAAAAACTTGTATTTTTCTACATTTTTATTTTTATTTTTTTTATGTTTGACATAATATGCTTAGATGAGACAAATGATGAAATTATTGCAGTTATACATATATTTTAATATAAATACATAGTTATGCAGTAATATATTATGAACAAACAAAAGTTTTATAATGAAATTTCTTAATAAGAAAAATAAAAAAATTTAATAGAAATCTTATGGTGGTTTATTTTTTTCAGACTACATCCATAAAGCGAGTATGTGCAGAAAAAAAGTTCAAAGTGACAGACAATTTAACAACGTGGATTATACACAACTTACAGAAACCGATAATGGTTTCTTTGATTCACAGGTGAGTAAAAAAGCACAACTTGGCATTTAATAAAGTCCAGTTTATTTGCATTATTATTGCGCTTAAGAATATATTATTTAATTTCATCTTTTTTTATTAATGATATAAAATAAAAAATTATATCAAAATTATTGCATGACAGTAAAGTGATATTTCTTATATTTTAGTTTGTAAGCCCACCAGTAAAAATACCATGGAAAGCTATTACGTTAGCAGCTTTGCTGTTCGTCGGAGGCACTATTATGCTCATTATGGGAAGCTTGATTGTGAGTGGACACATTGATTCAAAAGTAAGGCTTATTTTATTATATTGTAGATTATATAAAATTATAGTTGTACTGTGACATATTTAAATAATTTTAAGCAAGTAATGTCTTATCTAGTATATACTCTAATAGATTTAAATATTTAAGATATGAAGTTAAAGAGTAGTTACATTTAAAGATACGAAAATGTATTGATTATTTTAGTACCTATCAAAATCATACATTGGTAAAACGAAAATTCTGTTTATGTTGCAGTATTCAGATCGGATGTGGCCAGTGATAATTTTAGGGGCCTTGATGTTCATACCAGGGGCTTATCATATGAGAGTAGCTATTTTAGCGTATCAGAAAGTACCTGGTTATTCTTTTGATGATATACCTGAATTTGATTAAGATTTATGCACATGTGCACACAGTACTTATTAATTCTATTTTTAAAAATCACTTTAATGATAAGAAATCTTTTGCTTATATAATAGTATTAAGTTTTTAAGTTGCATAAAGAATATATAAAAAAGTATATAAAAAAATATATTTTTTGTGCTATTTTGTATAGTCAAAATAGGGAAATGAAACGCATTTCTAGTAATTTATGATTATTACCATTGTGTTCCTGTATAAAATATTTTCTTTAACATTTACACAAATGTCAAAAAACTATAATGCAATATTCAATTATAAAAAATTAATAAAAGTAATTTTAAAGTAAATTCGTCTGTATTTATAAAAGTATTCATAAAAGCATTTGTGATTGAAATATAGCATTTATTACAAAAATTTACAGAAATTATACAATATGTTTACATGTTCATATTATTTTCTGCGTCAGATAAATATACACTAATGTGAATTAATTACTATATGTATACAAAAATTCTTAAACTTGTTTATTTATATCTTTATTTACTATGTATAATTTTATACATACAAAGTTAATAGATGAGTTTAGATAAAAATTTACATATAAAATTGACATGTGAACAATAAAACATACTTGTGTCTCTGCATGATAAAATGATTAATAAAGTTGCAAAAATGTCTGTAATATAAAAAAAAAAAATAAAAATGAATAAACAAAACTGTGTCCTCTTAAACTCAACGTCACATAATAGAGAAATAATATAAAAAATTGTAAATAAAGTATATGAAAGTAATAATATATTTTCTAAATATTTTATGCGCACATTTTTCATTAATATCCAAGTCTAGTGGTTAAAAAATTTGTTTTGAGTTTTCAATTAAACTAAATATAAAGAATGAATATGCTCAACGTTATAAAATAAAATATCTTTTTTAGATTTTTTTTAAGAAGTTAGAGCAATATCGCACAGTACTTTTCAGTTTTTCTTTTTAATAGTTAATATTAGTTGATACTAATAAACAGATATTAATCTGTTACTTGATCTCATAATGCACTGTTATCCAAGAATAAAGAAGTACGATATTAATTACAATGTTCGGTTTTTAAATAATTTATAACACTTTTGCTTTGTAATTTACATATTCTACTCTTACTATTAACTGGCATTAATAATATAGGTGGATCAAACCGTTTTTTTAAAACGTTTCTGATTAATGCTTTTGTGTCTGTAATAGCTTTATTATTATGGTTCTGTAATTCTGCGTAATAAGACTGTTCATTAATCGATTTTATCTGTAAATTAATAATATAAGATATGTGATTGAACTACAGTACAAATTATATAAAATAAAAAGGATATTTTGTCAGCAGAGTAATATACTGATTAATATGCCAGATATACAGGTTCCAGCCGAATAATATGTACAAGCAGACGCGACATAATTCCTTATGAAAAAAAATGTAGAATATAATTTTTTTTATTTTCGGCTTAGTTTTCGAGAAAATCCAGTTTGAAAATCTCCTCGTATGTATGCTGTTATAGTTAAGGTACGATTCGTTGAGTGACGTACAATACGTATCGTGTTTATAAACAACGCTCTACTATGCCAAATTAGTTTTCGTTAAAATACCATGACTATGAGCTACATGAACAGGGAGGATATGATCCGGGCTTTGGGAGTCTAATAATAATGATTTATCCTACTGTTCGCTATTACAGAGCGATATCCTAATCGAAGTTTTCCCGATCGAAAAATAATTCAGAGTGGAGCGGTCTTTTAGAATATGGATCTTTTGTACCGTAGCAATTCTGTAATCGATAAATAAAATTTTGTTTATTAAAAAGAGTGACCCAAAAAATCGCGTTTTTTTAGGCCTTTAATTTTGAAACTGAACTATGTGCTAAATGATACCTTATAATGAGAAATTAATTATAAAGAAATTTCAAGATGAGGTGATTGTTATCAGAGCTGGAGGAGGGAGGGGGAGATGAAATCAAAGTTATAGAAATATCACATTATAGAATTATCACAGATTTGCGAGATTCGGTATTTTAAGAAGTTGATATCAATTTTATGTAAATAACACTCGTTTTGGTTGTAAAAAAATCGAGTTTTCGTGTAAAGAGACGTAAATAAGTGACTCCCTTCCAGCTTGATAACAATTATCACCTCAACCTGAAACTTCTTTGATTAATATCACATTATAAGGTACTATTTGGCATACAGTCTAGTCTCAAAATCAAGGGCCCAAAAAAAAAACGGGCAAGAAAACCTTTTTTTTTGGGGTTAATTTTTTCTTTGTGTTCGAACTCAGTAGTTTTCAAATGCCGTGTAGACATTGTTTATAAACACGATACGAGTTATAAGTTGCTCGATAAGCCTTAGTTGTAACATGTGTACGCAGCGAATTTTTAAACTCGATTTTCTCGATAAAGCAGAAAATTAAAAAATTTTATTCTACATTTTTTACTTATTTTTTTTCATAAGGAAATACGTCGTGCCCGCTTGTACATATTATTCGGCCGGACCTTGTATAAAATGTTAAACATAATTTGTCAGAATTTCGTTTATAAAAATGTGCTTACCTCCAGGATAAGGTACACTTTGATTTGATGAGGTTTAGCAAACTCAATCGCATGTCCAAAATTTATTATAAGATTTTTTAATAATTGCAGAAATGTAAGATATATTTCTTCCTCTGTCAAATTAGTATTTATAATGATGCACGTTACTGGCCACAGCTATATTGTATGAATATATAATAAATATATTAATTTAATAAATAGTTAAATAATGTAAACATTATTAATGTTAAGAAAAAAATATGCTAACATATTAAATATGTTAGAGAAAAAGTTTTTATAAATTAGAGTTATAGCCTCTTTTTTTTACAAATTGTATCAATCTATAAATAAAGACAATTATATATATTTACCTTCACTGCTGGATAGATACCTATGACTTCTGCGTAATTATATATTTGTCTAGCTAGATTTTCGTCCATGTGAATTAATGTTGAAATTAGTGCACGACACGTTGCTGTACTTAACATAAAGGTATATTTAAGTATTAAGTTGGCCATCTCTGTAATTAAATTGGCATCTTTTTTTGACAAAGATAACATTATTAATTTGTCCACGTAACTAGATAAATCTAAAAAAACGATATTTTTTATTGTTATGTCATTAAGAGTAATAATTATAATTAATTTATGAAATAAGAGTATACCGAATCTTTTTCATATAAGAATATGTGCATGTAAAATTTTACTTTACCTATTGGGTAATACTGACTGCATTGATCTTTAAGTAAAAATTTAAAAAGAAAGAAAGCTTGTTCAACAAATTGATTACAAAATGAATCCAATAAAATGTGTATGATTTTGTTCCGTACAGACTCATCGTTAATGGTACTTTTAACATACCACTTATGACGACTAGTACATATAATATTCTTGTCTGAAAAAATTAATACAGATAAATAAATAATATATTTATAAGATGAATAACAATAAAAGAAAAAAAATTAATTTGAAATGTATTCCACATGTCGAATTTTTATAATTGACAATTCAAGAGTGTTCATAATGTCAAGAATGTTTAAAAGTCAATTATATTAAAGAATTTTATATATTAAGATAATATTAAGAGTATTTATTGAATGGATATTTTTATATTGCCAATATTTCTCATAAAAAACGCATATATTATCATTTGTATATTAAAATTTCTAAAAACGATCGAACTGTGCAAAGTAAACTCACATTTAAGTAAATCGTATGCTGTTAGCGCTTTTTTGTTAGCTAAATAAATCTCAGCCGACAGCAAGTAATACGTAGCATTACATGGTAAATCATGTATATTAAGTGATTGAAGCAAACATAATGCAAGCCCCCAAGCCCGATCGTCCACTAAACAGGTCAGAATGTCTAATCCTATCTCAAATAAGATTTTTCCTAGAATGTCGAAGATGCCAATTTGGACTGAAAAGTCCAAATGTGTAAATTAGGTAAAATTATAAATAAAATTTGTAGTCTAAAGTTTATTTTATTTATTTTATTATAATACGTTACATGTGTGATACATAAAATATGTCCAATACATACACTGTAAGTTACTCAATCAATAAAAAGAATATTCTTTTATAATTTAATGCATTTAAGTGGAAAAAAATTATAGACTGTCGTTAGTAAGTAAAAAAAAGATGTAGAAAGTCTTAGTTATTTCTATTATTAATAAAAAATTATCCTTATATATATATAAACTTTTAATACTTAAAATCTATAAAATAATATATATTATGTGTACTACGGCATATGTAAGCTTTATTTCTACATGTGCATAGTAATAATAGTTTATCATAGAATATAGAAGTTGATCTTCAAGTTAACTACTTGATCACTAATGTGAAATACGAACAATAAGAGGGGAAAAAAGACTTCAATAAAAGTAAAGATCGTTTACACAATATATATATATATATATATATATATATATATATTATAATACAATCTATATTATCTTATTGATATGTATTTTTTTTATTATTAAAATATTTATTACCTGTGCGACGTATGATGTTTTTTAAGTGTTGGTCTGAACGTTTTACCTCTGTTCGAAGTATAGTACAACAAGCGCGAACAAAAAATGTATTTTCTTGCTTATCATCTTCCTTTTCTGCATATTTTCTTAAAATTTTAATAACATAATCATAATCATTATGTAAAAGTCCCTTTTTAAATCTGTCTAAATCCACATAAAATTTCCAGAGATGCGTACTATTTCTATGAACCGATCGTGTTTCAGGTAAATCAAAATCTGGAAACAAATATGTACATATATATAATAGTCGTATGTATGCAGTGTATTTCAAAGATTTTCCATGGAAAATATATATACAGGGTGTTGCATGCATATATATATATATATATATATAGATGCATGACACATTAGGCAGTATAACAAGTTGTGCGGCAGACTTGCAGAGGCAGGTGCAGCTTAGTAAGTATTGAGTATTTACTTTAGTTTTTAGTATTACTGAGCCGCGTCTGCCCCTGCAAAGGAGCAAAGTCTGCTGCGCAACCCGTCACACTGCCTAATATGTATGTGCAACACCCTGTACATATATTTTCCATGGAAAATCATTGAAATACAATTGCATGTTCCCCTTTTTCTTTTCTTCACACAATTAACAATAAAATAAACAATTACCGATAGGTTGTAAAGTGTAAAATTCTCCGTTCATTTCCGCTGCATTCTTAATTTCATTTGTACTTTTGTTTATAAAAGTATCGTCATGTCTTGGTGATTCTGTCTGAGATAAGTTCACACTTCCGTCGGGAGATGCAATAGTTTCCCACAAGTTTTCTCCAAAATTCTGAATCGTAGGACCGGAGTTATTTTTAGTTTTTTCATTACGCAATCTTTCGAAATGTTCCAATAAGCCTTTGTCCACCATTGATATTAATATAATGTGCGGAACTTTACTTATTAAGTTATCGTAAATATCTTCAACGTCAATTGATTTACTCTCTTTGCAATCGAGCAATATCTTTTGAACGACATGTTTCAAGTTATCAGGAGGCAATCTCATAATTAAATTTTTTACAGTACTCCAATATTCACCACGTTTGATATACTGTTCAATACATGTTAATATGTTTACAAGATTATTCGGGTCATTGGTCGTAATGTATTCTAGCAAGTAATTTACGATCGTTTGTAATGACAACCGCCGGTTTAACAGTTCCTTAATAATATCCCGAATGATATCTCTCTTTATTGAATGTGTAAATTCTTCATTTACATGAATATCTGAATGAAACATTTGGTACACGACTAAAATTTGATTAGTCGTTAATTTTCGCAATACTGTTACATATAATGTTTTGCAAAAAAAATTATAACCAAAATACAATGCCTCTTGCAGGATATTTACTATCGTTTTATCGTCTTCCAAATAAATTACTTTAAAGAGATCCGAAAGCTAGAAATGAGATTTTATATAAAATATCAGTGTACAAGCAATTATATACAAGGAAACAAAATAATGAATAAGTATACCTCGTGTTTGTATCTACATTGAGTGAAGTTACAGAAACCTTTCTTTAACCTTGTAAAGCAATATCCATGTATAAAGTTCCTAAGAGTATTCTTTTTTAACAATTGGCATTTTGGTATTTCCACGTTTTTAGTTTCAGGTATTACTTTTGATGCAATTCTAGTTTCAGATACACAATTTGTGCGCATAGTCTGTCTCGATTGATTGTTGAACTCTCTTTTTGTTTCATCAGCTCTATTCAATTTTTCTACACTATCTTTTACACATTGTTCATACTCCTTATTAAATTCTGTTGCATTTTGTTTTACATATTTATTAAAACTGCTGGTAGTCATTATGTATGGTTCATCAGAATGTAAAGATTTAATTGATTTGTTTTTTGAATCTTTATTTGGTTCTTTTTCAAATGAATTTTCATAACTGTAAAAAAAATTAAAATTTTAATTATTGCAAACATCGTAACTTATAAGTAACTTATAAGACAGAGATTGATTTATTATTAAATTGTAAAATATATTCATTAAAAAAATTATATAAACCTTTTAGGAAGTTATAAAATATTACAATATAATATATAATTTCGTTACATTTTTTTAAAATTTATACTTACAAAGTCATGTCCATGGATTCTGCAAACAGAGAAATGCAATCACCATCATCATTATCATCATTTTTATCATCACTTTTGCTATTCGTACATTCTTGTATATTATTATTTTCGTGATCACCACTTTTTTCTGTTTCTGTCTTTTGACTTAAATGTTGCGTTTCTTCTATGTTCTGTAACGTGCTATCAGCACGTTCCGTGTGATTGTTGTTAATTGGGATGGTTTGGATATCTTTCTCTTTATTCAAAGTTTTATTTAAATTTGGTTCTTTGTCGTCGAAAAAGAGCGGTCTGTGAAATTCTTTTTTCTTTGTTGCCTTTGTTGGAGTAGTTCTGTCATTTTTATCATTTAAAATTGTTTGCTTAGACTCTACACTATTTTTATTATTAATTTCAGTTTCAAGTTTCGATAGTTCGGGAAATTTCAATCTTTTTTTATTCAAATGTTCTCGTAAATCCGTTTTTTGTCTGGAAACATCTTTTTCGGATATGTTTGATTCTACTGTTACTATTGTATTTGGAAGATTATTAGATTCTTGATTATTTAATGATTTATCATGTGTTTCATTATTTTGCAGCCAAACGGTTCTATTTAATATTAATCTCTTTTTTTTATTTTCCAACTTTAAAGCAGTTTCCTCTGCAATACGTTTTCGATTCTGTTTTGTTGCTTCATTTTTAGCAAATATTAATGAGCTGTTGACATTACAGCTTTCACTTTCGTCCACAAGGTTTGAAGTGTTCTTGTTTAAAATGTTTTCAACAGAATTTATTTTGTTACTTTTATCACCCTGTAATATGTTCTCTTCACCATTATGTAGTCTATTCAATTGTTTTTGGCAATTTAAAGTGCATTTTTCATATATTTCTGTTGATATACTGTCAACATCACTAACATTTACATTATTATGAATGTTATTTTTTATTTCTATCAAAGAATTGATGTTTTCACGATCAATTCTTGTACTATGAAATTCATTATTATCTGTATTCTTATTTTGTGAATTAATATTATTGTTAAGAGCTGATGTAGATTTTGATACTTTCAATATATCGATTGATGTATCTATTTCAGATGTGTGATATTTTTTTTCTTTGAGAACATTTGTGAATTCAAGTGTATCAATGTGAGAAATTTGCTTCATACTGCTGTTAGTATTGCTAGACCTATTTTGCTCAGAAGCACTACTCTGTAAGCTGTCGTCACTACTTACTTTCACAATTTTTATCGTACCTTTTGGTAAAATATGATCTTCAGTTATTTTTGGTAAGTTTTTTTTAGTTGTCCTTGCATTATTCGCACATTGTTTTTCAATTTTTGTTGTAAGAAAATTAGATGATTTCTTAGTTACATGATTAGGCTTAGACGTTGGACAGATGTGACTTAAAGTAAATGATTCTGAAACATTTGTTGTTTGTACAGTACTGTCTATAACCGAAGATGTAGTTTCTTTGCTTAATTTTGTTTTTGCTGTTGTTTCTTGATCTTGAGATCCATACATTTTATTATATACAGCAAAAAGATTTTTTACTGAAAAACTTGCATCTTTAGGCTTAATAAGATCAGTCTCAGTATCGTCAGATGTTTCAGAAATTTTACTTCCTACATCTGTGTCAATTATATCTGAAAATTTAGCTAAAAAACAAAATATTTTTTTAAAGACATTTTAAATTATAAATTTTTGAATGTCTTGCCTTCTCATAATATTATCAAATACAAAAATTAATATATACATACTGTTTTGATTCTTTATGCATTGTTCCATTTTTAGATTGCAAACTTTCCCATTACTAACACTGTACGAATTACGTATCATATTTGTACACTTCTTGATGGTTTCGCTTATCTCTTGCATCTTGACGTTATCAGTAGTATTTAAATTCTTTTCATCCAAATAATTGTCACTGTTGGAACTGACTTGCATCGATGTCATATTTGTATCTATTTATTAAAAGAAAATGAATAAAATAAAACATTACATATACTATCCGATACAACATAAATATAAAGTTTATCATGTTACCTGATTTAATAAACTTTGGCTTTTTTCCCCCTCTAGTCCATTTTGCCTTTTGCCCTTTTGTTTTTTTATTAATATGTTTTCTATTATTTAATGGCACAGTCTTCGTTTCTGCATAACTACATGAAGATATGGTAGATGTTTCATCACAACTTTTACTCAATAAAAAGGATTTATCACTATTATCATGCTTCAATTGCTTCTTCTGCGCTATAAATCCTGGCTGAATTAGTTTGCGATTCTGACGGTACACTGACAACGATACATCGTCTAAAAATTCATTAACATTTTTACATTCTTCATTTTTCCATTGAGTTAATTTTTTCGGACGACCCCTTCTACGAAAAGTCTTATCCTGCGTACTATCTTCCCATATGTTTTCCTTTTTTATCCGTACATTAGAAGAACCTTTAGACGTATTGATACACGACGACGAGTGCTCTAATTTCTCCGTTCTCTTTTCGGAGAGATGCAATTGATAACGTTGAACTAGATCTTTATCTAAAGCAATGTTATGTAATACAACCTTACATGTACGAAGACCTTTCAACGTTTTTAACTTGTTATTATCGTTTGCTCGTGTCATGTCCCTCTTGTTTTTTGTCTGTGCCATTCTGTTGTGATAAATTAGTTATACATACGTTAGTGGCTAATGCCTTACGAAAGACCAGTTTTCGAACTTCTTCTCGTGGTCGATAGCAACAAAGTCCTTTGTGCATTTAACTTGCAAATGCGTACTTTTATCACTCTCGGATCTTCGCGAAAGGTCGTTAAACATATTTCTTCACATCACCGTCGAGAGATAGTCAACTACCAGCCAACCTAACGGAAATGTATCGAGTTTTTAACAGAGAGACAAAAAGCAACAGTGCACAAAGAGAATAAAAAAAACAAAGCTACGGTAATGGGGAAGAAGTACACCGAAAGGGTATTGTTAGATTACGTGAAGTAAGCGGCCATTATAATGTTTCTTTCGGCCTCCTCATGATAAGTTTCTTTTTGCAACAAGAGCTAACGTCTTTTATCATACAAGATTTTTTTCACATTAAGTACATATATTCAACGTGATATTACTCTATTTCTGTTACCTGTATCCAAAAACGTACGCATATGTGTACCTCTTGGCTAGACGTCTCTTAGAAGCTCATAACGGACATACCAAGTTACGCTATCAGTCTCGGACCGGACCCTCAACCGCTCTCAACAAAATCTTTCCGTTCGCCATGGAAAATTCGCGGAAATATTCAAGCGTGTTCACTTCGAGAATCGCAAGCATTTATATCGATACCTAGTGACATCAGCGCCCCCAATTTATCTCAACTACGTAGAACAGCGATCGACAATTGTATTTTATCGATATGTTCTTCCCTAAGCAACTCCATCTGGGCTGCGTTCAGAAACTTCGTTCGCCTAGGTGTATCTAGATATTAATATTATCCTTATTTAACATTCGGTGAATAACAAGAATAACATAATGTACCGTGAATTCCTGAATGCAGTCCTGCATCTCCGCGTTATCATTCGGGACTGTTTATCGAACTATATGTATATATTATATAGCTAGATGTTTTGAATGAGTGCTTTCCATTTGGTGACACAAATCGACATAAACGTCATTCTATCCTTCTTAGCATTTAGTGAGTAACAAAGATAAAACGATACTTGTATCGACTTGTGTTACTTGGATAATAATTATAATGTATATATACACCGACGATATATATATATATACTGTTAAAGACCGTCAGCCTCACAGTCGGCTTAAAATATTTTTGGCCCAGGGACTAATATTAAAATGGACCCTCTTATTATTAAATAACAACAATGATTTAAATACACACATATTTTGCATTTGCTATTTAAAAAATGTGATTATTCGTATGACTTTTGTCGTTTCTGCTTAAAAGGTACAAGACAGTTTTGAATACTGAAAAGTAATAACATATGAAAATAATTCACATTTTATTGAAATTACAGTATTACTTAAAACTTTTTTTCTTGGTTTATTGTACGTAAATTTATTGATTAAAATCAAGATTTTTCAGCAGTTTGCTTTCTGTAGATAATAATGCTAAATGACGATAGTCTAATATCAATCATAGTGGATCGATATTTATTTTTTATTATTGAAATTAATAATTTTAAGCTTATAAGGGGCCCCCTAGAAAGATGGGGCACAGGGCTACAGCCCCCTTAGTCCCCCCTTAAACCGGTACTGGTCAATCCTGGGTAAATTAAAAATTTTCATGCCGGCCAATAAGAGTCCGGAGAGCCTGGAGGTAATTACAGAGTGTCGATGTTATCAATTTTGACATAAATTTGCGATTATTAACATAAATATATTATATTATTACCAATATGCTTAAATTTTAGAAATACTAAACAGCCACATCAACTCCTGAAAGGATGTTGATCTTCAATATAAGTATCTTGTCGGTAATGTAACTAGCTTACATATCGCCATATCGTCCAGTTTATTCGAATCGTTTTGACAATATTACGTAAGAGGACATTAGCTCGAATTTCTCGCGAAAAGTCTAGAGAAAATCCCTGCAAAATTACTCATGTCACACACTCACACGCGGACGGCTTGATATGATATTTGTTGCTCGCTGAAAGTTGCAAATTGTATGTTTTTAGTGCCGATAGCGCTTAGAGATCGTATTTATTTTATTGAGCATGGACTACAAGGATGAGCAGGTCAACGAGATCGAGGCTTTGGAGTCGATTTATTGCGGGGAATTGGAGAGTGAGTATATTGTCAAAATACCAACCTGTAACCTCCAATCTGATCCTGAAGATCCTGAAGCAGATGAAATCTATAACGATAATATTATAAATGTTCAATAATAAATTTTTATTATTATAAGGACAAGAAGAGGTTAATGAGAGTCAATCGTGGTACTTAATAGTGCGTAAAAAATCAATTTTTAAGACACGCACTGGATAACTATTAATCTTGGCATGTGTGTGGAGACTTCATTTGAGATTTCGTACTGCTGAAGATGGCTCGAACCTAAGCCGAAACATCTAGATGTCTATATGTATTTACAAGTATTGTTAAAAATTGATTTTTTGCGCACTGACCGCGCTTGACTCTCATTAGCCTCTTTTTGTCCTTAATTTCAAGTACGAGAGTCCGTCAGTATCTTGTTTAAATTTTTATTAATAACGAGTAATACAAGCGTGTACGTTATTACAGTTTTAGCAACAGAGCCGTTTTACACATTCGCTATACCAATCAAGACGGAGGAATACGAGCCAGAAACTGGCAACGGTCTCGGTTGTCGATTAGAATTCACGTACACGTCCAAATACCCGGACGAGCCGCTGCTCATATCAATCACGGAGCAAGAGAATCTCGAGGATGGCGATGATGAGAAGTTCAAGGCACACTTGGCCGAACAGATGAATGAAAATCTTGGAATGGTAATGGTTTTTACATTGGTTAGCGCGGCTCAGGAGTGGCTTAATGTACAGTGGGATAAAATAAAACTCAGGAGAGAAGAGACTGCGGCACAAAAGCTGAAAGAAGAAGAGGAGGCGGAAAGGGTAAGGCATACCGAATATATCCACATATATGATAGACATACAATTGTAATAATGTGCAATTTCTTGCTTTCATAGAGACGATTTGAGGGAACCCGTGTAACCGTGGAGTCTTTCCTAAGCTGGAAGGAGAAGTTCGACGAAGAAATGGGCTACACAAAACGGAGAGAATTGGCGGATCGCGAGGGCAAGAAGTTAACAGGCAGGGAATTATTTATGACCGACAAGACATTGGATCAGTCGGATCTTAAATTCTTAGATGACGGTAATTTATTACGTTTTGTTTTCTTAAATCGCTTTAATTTTGACTCTCATTCAAAAGATACTGATATATTGCACGTTGTGTAACTTTGATTGTACAGGTGATGCTGTAAAGGTAGACGAGAGCTTGTTCCAAAATCTGGATGATTTAGATTTAGATGATGACGACGACGACCCAGACTATGATCCAAATATCTCGGATGATAGTGCCTAAACAAGTTTGATTCAGTAGCTACCAAAGTGATTTGTAGAACAAATTGAACAGAGGTTTACTAAATTATTGCAAAGAGAAAGAAAAGGAAAAAATATATGTACAGTCTTGATTACAAGTATGAAGCATCTTTCCTCTCCTCAAATTGACGTTTTATCTAAAGAAAAATAAATTGAGAAACAGTTTTATTGAAAAATAATATTTATTTTTGTAATATTTTTAATATTTTGTTAGTCTTTCTTTAGCTTTTATTACCATCTTTTTCTACAAAAATGCAATAAATTGAGGGATGCCTTATATTTATGACCAAAGTTGTATGTGTTGAAAGATATATTTTAAGAATTTCTCTTGCAAGATGTATCTATCTAGTAAAAAAAATGACAGTGGTAAATGAATCATCATGGTTGAAATAAAAAACATATTTCTTCAACTAATGTTTTATTGGAAGATAATTCACAAAACGGAATATTTAAGGAATGAAATAATTTTTATACTTATGTAAATATAATATAAATTATGTTCATAAGCTTGATTTATATTAAAGAAACATATATCTCGTATTAATTTTCGTCTTTCCCTGCATTTTCCTTGTATTATACAATATAAAGTGTATATGTATATATAGGAATGGTACAAGATAATTATTAATATCATTAATGCATCAAGTAACGACCAGAATTTAACATTTATTCGTAATCTTTAACATTATAATTTACATTTAGCAATTCATAAACGTATTCACAATTTGATGGAATCTATTTTCTTGCGATATATATACTGTCAAGATGTTTATTCATGGCAGCATGATACACTTTTCTGTATACAAATTGCACAGATTTATAAAGTTTCCTATTTTGAGGCAGTAATTAATCAAATCTAATCAATGTTATCGATAAATACTTATATTTAATGTAACATAGATGCCTTTTGCCAGAAATTTATCTATAACATTCTTCTACAGGATAGAAGAATGCGTATTATAAAGTAGAAAGATATTGGTGTTATAATGTTTTGATATATAATAATGATTTGATATATCATAACGGTTCCTCTTTTTCTGATACTTTTCTCTAATTTATTGAATATATGATCGCTCCATCGTCCATCCAAAAGAAACGATTAAAATTATTTTGTCATGTTATTCGTGAGCCTTTATTTACTTCATGTCATTACTTAAAAAATAATCACGAGGTAGCAATTCATTTCTGATGAAGGATCATGTATCAAATGATTACAACAAAAAGCAACTATTCGTTAACTGTAGTTTTAAAATATAAAGTAAATGTATCGCGTACTGTGCATGCCACACAATGCAGAATGATATTACATTATTAGAAATAACTTCGCGATTATTTTAGATATCTTAAAAAAATAAATAATCTGTAATGTACTGGAATATTTGACAATCCATGTCGAGTTAGTTAGTGAATAGTTGTATTCTATTCACATATGATTCTGCGTTGCGTCAAATATCGCTACATCATTACATTAAATATATATATATATATATATATATATAAGTACGTATTCTTGTTTAAACGCAAAAAACATCGATAAATTGTAATTTCTTAATATTAATGAGTACAATATTTATGCGATTATCCACAATAATCATAGTTTACTTTCTGACTGCAAGAAATTAAAATGTATGTCAAGTGGTCGTCTCATGTTTAGAGTTTAGACTCGCCAACGCGTCATAATCTGTTGGGAGAAGAACACAGTTAGTTATGCAAAAACGGTAGCTCTATAAGTTTATCTAAGCGACATGTAAATAATACTCTTGTAAATTATATACATACAAAGATAAAAATTATTTTAAAAAATGCAAATAAATCGTTTGTCCTTGGAAGAGATGTATCTTCAATCGCTTGGATAAACTTAATTTTGTAGTATACAAGTTCAATATTGTTTCTCAAATATTATTTTTAGCATATGTATACATATTCATAATAAATTACAGGGATTTTTTTGCTTATTAAACAGTTACATAATTACAGAAGCATGTATTCTATCATGACAAGATATTAATATTGCACATTATACAGCATGCCATTCTCCTAATAAGATTATAATTATCATACACATTCAGAACAAACTATTAATCTAGCAAGTGTTGCAACATAAACACAAGAATATTGTCTTTTTTATTCCAAGAACAATTTATTTTTTCATCATAGAATTATATCCTTTTTATATCCTTGGCTTATTGTATATGCTATCTTTAAGAACAAATATTTGTTTTTAAGGATATTCATGATATTAAATAATTTAAAGTCTTCGTAAAATGTCCATAAGCACCGTTCAAATGTAAATCATATTTGTAATCATTATTTTTAGTCTCGTTCATCATTTTACATATTCTTAAGTTGTAATCAGACTTATAAAAATACTAGAAATTCCAATATGCTTTTTCTAAGTAGTGTTTAAAACTAAACCTGTCGTTAATGTCAAAAATTCTAATTTTTAAACAATCTTTGATATAAGCATATTTACTTAAAATTTTAAAGATACTAATAAAATAATTATAAAATATTAATCTATATATAAATATAAAGTAGTGCAAAATAAAGATTTTCGAGCTAAAAGCGTATGTCTTGGTCTGCGTTAGAGTTTCGGAAATTGTTGCGTCTTAGAATGTTCAGTCATGAACTTCGAGAAGGATCTTCAGGAGAGGAAGAAGGGAGGGATGTTTTCATGTCTTTGTTGTCCGTAAATGAAATATCAGAAAACCTAAACATATTATATTATTAAAGAGTGACCCCAAAAATAACCTGTATTCTCGCTCTTGATTCCGGATTTTATTTTGGTGATAAATGATTGTAAACCATGAGGCCCTAATCCTTTGAAATTTTCAAATTGAGCCTACTCTTTGTTGCTAAGTTATGAAGCCTCAAAGTTATCATTTTATACCGTGTTTCTCAAAACTCTTATTGTAGAAATACACAACAAGAAAAGTAATGAAACTTTGACCCTAAAGCCACCTCTATTATTCGACCTCTGGTCCAAATAAGTACTTTCTAATAATTTCACTCCTAAGCGTTACTTTATATAAAAAATCGCATTTAAAAATCAAAAGTTGATATCCAAATGACCTTTAGGAGTGTCTTCACAGTGAAGGTCATCATTTTATGTACCCTTTCATATCCTATAATTTTTGTCTAAAACATTTTTCTCCAAAATGCTTTGCCTAAAAGCTATTCGCATGCAAAGATCCGTTTTGAGAAACACGGTATAAAATGATAACGTTGAGACTTCATAACTTGACAAAGAGTAGGCTCAATTTGAAAGTTTTAGAGTCTCATGGTTTATTATCACCAAAATAAAGTCCGAAATCGAGGACGAGAATATAGGTCATTTTTGGCCTGTTTTTAGGGTCACTCTTTCTTCCAGTAAAATTTTTAACAAACTTTATAATAGAAGAGTTCAATAATTTAATTATTCTTATAATAAAATAATCATTATTTTTATTATAATAAAAGTAAATAGAAATCTCGAAAATATAATAACTTAAGAATTTCGAAAGGGCTAATGATGGTAAGTAGTGTGTAACTTAATTTTTTCAATTAAAATAGAATACTAGAGTTAACATTATTCAATCTTTATTCAAACATTCCGGATTCAGGCTTTGAGCCATTTTCAACGATGCTAATGGTAGTCAAACGCTAATTTTCAGATTGTACAAAAGTTGTAACATGTTTCTTCATGGGTTGGAATGGAAAACGATACATAGATGTTTGCTTAGTCTTCACTTTCGAATCATGAAAAAAACGTGAAATCAGCAAAAATATAAAAATACAAATAAATTTAAAGATTGTTAAGTCACAAGTAAAACGGTCGATAAATACATAATTAAAAATCCTCAGATAAATTCTGACAAAAAAAATGAAATTACAGTATCACGAGATCACAATTTGAGTCGATCGGAAGTCTAAAAGTATAATGAAACGTTCGAATAAAGATTGAGTAATTTTAATTCTAATATTGTCTTAATTGAAATTTGTCTTAATTTAATTTGCTTATTACGCAATTTATCGCACCATTACTTTTATTAGAATCCCTTTTATAAATCCTTAAATTTATTGTTTTGACAAAGAGATTATTGATGCTACTATCCTGATATACACACATTTCTTTCTAATATTAAAATAATACAATGTATTTTTACAAAATGCGACTATGTAGCATAAATTTTCTCTTTAACTAATTTCAATTGTTATTTTAATAACATTGCTATCTTTAATATTGATACATATTGTACACAAATGAAGGAGGACATTAGAATGTTATATTGTTAGTAATATATTGCAATAACGATTGATTTATGCCGCTATGAATTAATGTTAGCAATTCGTGTAAATTGTAACGATGAAAACACTATTAGCGTTAGTCACCCGATGAAATAATTTCTCTTACGATTAGAACTGTTTACAAGTTGTTTTGCTGTTTGCATATGCCATGAATGACACTGATTATAAAGTCGAAGAAACATCGATACTTTTTATCGTTAAAGATAACAATGATAGCCTCCAACTATTCCGGCCGATGAAATCCGCTACAGATGTTTTAAATTGTGACGAATTTCTATTACGTCTCTGAAAAAGATTAATTAAGCTTCAATTGTTTCTTCTAACATTCATTGTGGAAACGAGCACATCAAAAAGGAGAAACACTGTAAAGGAAATGGATACGTTATATGGGTGAAATGGATGGTCGTATCCCAAAATAAAATTTCTAATACGCTTAATAGATTCAAGCAACATTAGCAATGAATATAACACTCATTCTGAGAGAATGAATTGCTATTAAGAAAATTAAGCATAAACTCGAGCAATTAATTTTATCATTGCGTTTGCAAATACAAAATAACACATTCTCAAAACATTAATTAATAACAAACTTAACAGCAAAATTTAATTTATTTTATAAAGCTTTGCATAATCATAGTAAAATGCAAATAAAAATTAAAGCAGTGTGCGAAGTTCGTCGGATCAAAACAAAAGTAAGATTTTTAATAAATCTTCTAAAGGCCCTTGTGTTAACTGCAATCAGACTTACTAATAAAATAATTAATAACGTAATAACTACCTTGTTCATGCTGTCTACAGAATTGTTGCGACACTATTTATTGCAACTAATTTTAATATTTATCTATCTATTTCTTCGATCCTACAGCTTGTGAAAAACTGTGCTAAATTTGACTTTATTAAATGATGCGACGTTACGTGTTTGGGAGAAATGACTTAGAATCATGAAGTTCATCGTACTTACTTTTCCGGCAAGATACGCGGTTTGGCATAATCACCCGGCCATTCGTACAGATTTGGCAGTGGACTGTCATAGTTGGCATCGTACATCTTACTTATGATGAATTGTCGCTTGTCTTTCGGTTCCGGATACTCACTTGCCAAACCACCTGTGGATAATAATATAGACAGATAATATTAACCAGTATTTCACACACAATTTCCGAAATTACAACGACACCAACCTTTGGCGTAAGCGTATTCAGCTATTTTAACTGCGATGTCGATAGAACACTCGCGAATGCTATTTAACGGCGGATACAGACTACCCCTTTCGAGATCCTCATTTTTCACGTGATCGGCGACAGTTTGCGCTGAGATCAGGAACAAATCTTCGGTAATGTGATGCACTCCGGTCGCGATAACGCCCAAAGCGATACCGGGAAAGATGTACGCATTATTACCCTGTCCAGGCTTGTACGTTTTCCCTTTGTACTTTACTTCACCGAACGGTGAACCCGAAGAGAATACGCATCTACCCTAAAACACAAACGTGTTTGACTCTGACAAATCGATTTAATATACCAAAAAGCAAAGCTATCCATTATTATTGTGCGAGTTAAGATTGCATTACACTCATACATCAGTATTATCGTACGCCTGCTGTGCCGTACATTCAGCTTTACTCGTTGGATTACTTAGAGCGAAGATCAACGGTCTCTCGTTATGATTTGCCATTTCTCTTAAAACTTCAGGAGTGAATGCACCCGCCGCCGCCGAAGCGCCTATGCGAACATATCAGTTTTATCGATATCTCTTTGATCAAGATCGTTTTTCTTTGAAGACCTGCTTACCTATCAGGACAGAAGGTTTGATTTCTTTCACAACTTCGATCAATGTCTTCATCACTTTGTGGTCCTTCGCGTACCAGATCTTGTGGCCCTCCAAATTACCCTCGGGCCGATTCTTCACGAGTAATCCGTCAATGTCCATCATCCAAATGTTACCACGCGCCTGCTGTTGAGTGCAACCATCAGCCTCCATCGCTTTCACGCAAAGATCAGCTATTCCGATTGCTGCCTGCAATCGAATAGAATAAATGTTACAAAGAAATCACGCTCGTGTGTGAAATTAACAAATAGAAAATTATTAAATCAAATTATCAAATCAATTATTATAAAACGAGCAAATTAAAAAGAATTGGTTGTAAAATTTAAAAATTCCTTTACTAAAATAAATCAATCAGAAGCAACAGTACGTTTCGACTATACCGTCTTCCACAGCTAATCCGTATATTAAATTATAAATAAATAAATTTCATTTAATTTCTCGATCGGACATTTCCGCGCCACGCAACGAGGAATTGTGAATGAAAAATCTTTTTAATTGCTGACGTATGGTGGTGTATTGGCACGTTCAGATCTCTGAGAGGATGTTTCGAATGCGCAGGACACGGGCTATGAGGGAAAATTTTATTCGCGTTTTTTCGCGTCGATTATAAGTGTTCTTATTGTAACATGCAGCCACTCCCTTTTTATAATTTGTGACTATGTACTATTTTTTAATATATTTTAATTAATTAATGAATTTATTTGACCTAATATGCGGATTTATGTTTATTTATTTATGACTTTATATACGGATTAGTTGAGGAAGACTCTGTATAGTCGAAACGTATTGTTGTTTTTGATTGAATTATTTTAGTAAAGAAATTTTTAAATTTTACAACCAATTCTTTTTAATTTGCTCGTTTCTTGGCCTTGATTTAATCATTTTCTGTTTTTGAGAATAAATATTGTTACATTATGCGATCTCAAAGCAAACGCAATAAATATTTAGTATTCGTTGCAATAAGGCTGTTGCACTATTTCAAAAATTTACAAACCTCTCCGGCTCCCAGGAAGACAAACTTATTCTCCGCCATTCTCTTCTTAGTTATTCTTTGTGACGCTAAGATTCCAGCCACTGCAACCGCAGCCGTACCTTGTATATCATCATTGAACGTACAGTACTTGTTTCTGTATTTGTCTAAGAAACGGAAGGCGTTGTGGTTTCCGAAGTCTTCGAACTAAAATACATAAAGCACGCGGTATTAGCATGTACGTGTATCATAGAGTCACTTCACGAGATTTGGGTCAAAGACACATAACACGTTATATTACATATATGTATTTAAAAGTATATATACACACGACATAGTTATGTATGTTAGCTTACTTGAATAAGAACGTTTTGTCCGTACTTTTTCACGCAGGCGGCCATAAATTCGTCGATTAATTCGTCATACTCGGCACCTTGGCTCCTAGGCTTGTTAAGACCGATGTAGTGAGGGTCATTTCTTAGCTGTTCGTTATTGGTGCCTACATCGATAGTGATCGGGAGACATTGATGCGGTTTGATACCAGCCAGAGCTGTGTAAAGCGCTAGTTTTCCAACGGGGATACCCATGCCGCAGGCCCCGAGGTCACCGAGGCCTAAAATTCGCTCGCCATCCGTTACGCAGATGGCCCGCACGGCTTGTTCTGGCCTAAAAATGCGATGGAAATCACCCATGATATCGACGTTGAAGATAGATTAATACGCTGTACTACTATACATAAAATAATCTTTCTCTTGCTTCGCGTTGTAACGAAACGTCGTAACGAAACGTGCGATGCGTGCGATGCGTGGAATTCTATTTTTAGCAAACAAACGTCAAACGCGCATTTTCCGGTTAGACTCACAAAGCGTTCTCCACAAACTGCTTTTCCCTTGTAGCAGCGATTACTTTTTAATCAATTGTGTGACTTATTAAAAAACAAGTTGTACGTGCTCAATCCAGTAAACGAGAATGAGTTAAAATAGATTTTACAAAAATTTATTACAATGTTCGCAAATGCGTACTTTTGAAAATCTGAATCCATTTCAATGCCAAATGCCTTTGCATTCACTTATAGGAATTGCATGAATCACATTTTCTATGCCATCCAATCAAAAAAAAAATTCAGCTTTAAAAAGTAAATCGTGAATGCTAGTTAATTCAAAATTCTAGATAAGAAATGTTGTTTTTTCAATCTAATTAAATTCAAAAAAAGTTTTTCATAAAAATGGACCATGAATGTTATTCATCTAAATCCAAGAAAAAATATTTTTTGGATTTAGATGGATTGAAATAATGTATTTTCTATAGTCATAATTAATATAATAATATTATATTAATATTATATTAAAAATATTCGTATTATGAAATGCATTCATTTCCACGGAGGCCAATCCATTTCAATCTACAAATTAAAAAATTTTAATTTATTTTAATCCTTTCCCGTTTACTGGGAACAAACACGTAACCATAGACGTACGTCTTTGCGCGTAACTCTCGTATTTGTCTTTTTTTTTTACATGACACGGCAATAATATTTTGAGCATTTCTTTCTTGATACTAACCAATTATTCAAGATTTCATAAATATGGCCTTTATCGTATATAGTAATGAAAAGTCCGCGAGGTCTACGATATATCACACCAAACTTTTGGCAGGCCAAACCAACGGTAGGTGTATAGACAATCGGCATCATCTGTTCGATGTTTTCGCTTAACAAGCGAAAAAATAATCTTTCGTTCCTCTCCTAGAAATTATTCCGATGAAATTAAGGACAGATCCCCTATAACGAAATACAACGAGGTGATACAGGGCGCGAAACATGTGTTATTTACCTGAAGTTCCACGAGATATAAATATCGATTCAGATCCTCCGAATATTTCATTACTGACGCTTTGCATAGAGCCAGCTGTTCCTCTTGCGTTTTAAATCTGGGAGGTTGCAACCCGTGTATCCCAAGGGCTATTCTCTCTTTCAGGGTGAATGCCAAGCCCTGTTTATTATCATGGAATATTCACGCCGTGAGATCGTAAGTGTGCCGTAGGTATAGAAAAGAGTGACCCAAAAATCGCCCATTTTTTGAGCCCTCGATTTTGAGACTGAACTGTGTGCCAAATGATACTTTATAATGAGAAATTAATTATAAAGAAATTTCAAGATGAGGTGACAATTGTTATCAGAGCAGGAAGAGGAGGGGGGGGGGATGAAATCAAAGTTCGTTATGTGAAATTATCACAGGTCTGCGAGGTCCGATATTTTAAGAAGGTTGATCCAGCCGATGAAGGTTGATCGCAGTTTTACGTAAAATGACGCTCGTTTTGGATGTAAAAAAATCGAGTTTTCGCGTAAAGAGATGTAATAAGTGACCCTCCTCCAGCTATGACAATTATCATCTCAACCTGACATTTCTCTGTGATTAATATCTCATTATAAGGTACCATTTGGCACACAAGTCCAGTCCTAAAATCGAGGGCCCAAAAACGTGTGAAAAAACCATCTTTTTTTTTATCACTCTTTCAGCAAAGAAGAATAATGGTAGTACCTTGTTCAGTCGGGGATCTCGGAGATGTCCGATACCCTTCACCATGTTTATCGGTATCACATCCCCCGAAACCTCGTGGATTTCTCTTTGCTGAACGTCCTTCACGGCAATATGCAAAGGTGGAAGCGTTCGCGTCCATGATCCTCCGCAATTTCTACTACTGGCCGATCTAAAAAATACGCGTGGAATATTTGCACATATCTAAACAATTTTTTGCATATATCTCACAAATCTATCAAATTGAATTGCTTAATACCTTGTAAAAAAAAAATAAAAAATGAAATGAGAATGTTTTATTTTATTGTCGACAAAACTACGGCTGATCTTTGCTACGTTGCAGTATCTGCCGCCGACTAATTACTACAGTTAACGACTCAATGAGTCATTTAATAAAAAAAGTAACGGCTTTGTAAGCGTGAGAATCCAATGAAGAGTTTATATGAGAGACACGTATATCATATTTTCGAACGTTTATTAAATCGACGACGACTAAACGATGGGACGTCGCTTGACGTGTCGACTTAATTTAGGAAATGGCATGGAATGTCGATTCGTCAGAAATGACAGATAAATTGCTCTTATCACTTTGCACACACGTTGTCTTGCTAGCCTCATTGGCGACAGATCGATTTCATGTTACACGAGCATCTGGTAAATATCACGAGAACGTTTAATTTACAGCCTGTTTAAAATTCTCGAAAAATAAAGTTACTTCAATATAGATATGTAAATCTTGTTGATATGCATACGTATCCGCTCATTAACATTTATTAGCGCTAAGGCAACACTGATTGGACGAGTCTCGATTTCATTTTCGTTTAGAAGTCGGTATTATAAACACGTGCACACAGAAAGAACGATTTTGTTGAAAGATCTAAAAATTTTGCTCAATACAGATCTAAAAATAATTTTCGTTCAATAATCAAAATAATTTGTTGAAAAATTAAAAACTATCAGGCATTGCTATAAAACGTTTAATATTCTAACAATTATTTTAACTTTCCAACAAAATTACTTTGATTATTGAACAAAAATTATTTTCTGATGTGGCTCCAGTAAAATTGTTCTTTCCGTGTGCGAAAAATATGGGGATTCTCGAGCTGCATTTAATTCTGCACAATGATTCTCTCGTCATTGCTCATCGATGATAAAGTCGATGACTACTGCATATATGACCAAGTGCAGATAGGATTAGCGATTAGATAAGAATTCGTGGAACATCAATAGTCAGCTGATATCAAGCTCTTCAGTTCGCCGTGCGACGAACTATATCAGATCATATATAGGATTACGCTGGATACACAGTGCGATCAATGAAGTTGCAAGTGGAGCACGTTGTAACTTGACGTGTGTCAATTTTCTTTCTAAAAAGTATATAGTTTCCAGAGAACACGGAAGGTGAAATAAAACGTTTCACACGTTCCGCGTGAAACGATATTTAATTCTTTAAAAATTTTTTTACAGAAACGTATGACAAAATCGTATCTCGCTTTATAAGCCTTGAAATATTGCGGAGCACGATCACGTGTGTTTCGTGCCCGCGATATTATTCGACGATAGTTCCCCGCCGCTTGAAGAACCAAAACGGGCTACGCTATTATTATTTTCGTGGCGTAAAGCCAATTTTGCAGAAATGACCGAGAGGCGCGAAACCTACCGTGGCGACCGGCATATATGCGTCTCTTTCAGTCGTAATTTCGAGATATGATATAAATCACGTTAGCATATCGCATTCAACGCCAGTGCGGCTGCTCGAATCCGCATGCGATGTTTCTTTTCTCACAAAACAAGGATGCGTGTCTAAATTAACAGTTTGTAATAAATGCGTTTTTAGGTATGTATTTATATGGAGCATTCATCCACATTAAAAATCGTAAAAATCTGATGTAAAAGTTTATATATATCAAATATAAATATATATAATTAATAATACGTCCATTTAAATAAAAAATAATATTTATTTTGGTAACAATTTTAATATTTTGTTAGTCCTTTTTTGGCTTTCATTATACCGTCTTTTTCCAAAAAATGCAATAAATTGAGGGTGCTTCATATTTAGAGTCAAGATTGTATATATTTAATTATATATATGGATTATATGTATATGTACAAGATTGTATATATTTATATTTGATTATATGTATTTTATATTATATAGATTTAAAAAAAAATTTATTTTATTATATACAGAGTGATTCAGAACAACCCCGTGTCTGTATAAAGACGTATTCTTGACTTAATTCTAAGACGATTTTTCCGTCGTTAGTAAATTGTGCGCGTGTTTTATTTCTTCGAGTTATTTTATAGTCAATAAATAATTAATTGACAATGATTACAAAGCACTTAATGGATAGGTACATTAATAGATTTCTCGTGAGTTCTTTAAGTGAAGTGAGTAGTACGTAAATCGAGTGAAATGTTGAAGTGATACATTTTGTACAAAAAATTAATTATAATTATTTGATCCATGTCAGTCGGTAATAACGTGTGACGTCTGCATTAAAAGTAAAAAAAATTATTAAAATAAACTTATTTGGAGCTGTACGTAGTGGAGCGTTTGACCACGTCCCGATTGACCACAGCCACTCACAGTGGCCGGTGCCTAGAGATTTTCCACTGTTCAAGCGCTGCGAGTGGCTGGTGGTCAATCGGGACGTAGTCAATCGAGTATCACCCGTACGTAGTCCATCGAAATGGAAATTCATCCGCCTTTCTCAAAAAGCTACAGGAGTCATCGAATATTTATAAGGTAACTTTGTGTGTGTGTGTGTGTGCGTGTGTGTGTGTGTGTGTGTGAATGTAATCGCATGTGTAGGCACTCGTATAATAGTCTGCTGATTGTCGCAAGGATCCCCGCGTACCGCCTGCGTCCGATATAAGTTGCGCGGTCCTTGTCTATCTTTCCTATGCGGCCCGTAATTCGCTAACTATTTTTCGTTATAATTTAAAAACTAAGCTTTGGAGAAAATTTTCGTAAAGGAAAAACCGTCTTAGAATTAAGTCAAGAATATGCCTTTACAAGGACACGGGGTTGTTCTGAATCAAGTATAAAAATTTAGCTAGATGCAGATCTGAAAATAATTTTCTTGGACCGTTAAAATAATTATGTAGGAAATTCAAACATTGATGAGATAATGCAGCAAAAAATTTTGACATCCCAGCAACCAGTTTGAGCGTCCTACGTAATTATTTTTATGATCCAACAAAATTATTTTTAGATTTGTTGTATCTTGCTGAATTTTTAGATATTTCGACAGGGCTGTTCCGAATCACTCTGTATATAAGAGTTTTAGGAATTCATTCTTATATATTTGCGAATGTGGTTATATTACAATGTGAATGCGGAGCAAACGCACTTGTGCCTTGAAATACTCCGCATTGTCATTGTGATCGAGTAGGTTCCGACCTGTTAACGCGTGACGGCCACGCTGAATTTGCTCAAAAATTCTTTCCAGTCCATCATGTTCACGTAGCAGTCGCGTGGCACATGAACTACTATTGTATTTGAAACCCGGAAAATTAATTGAATCTTATCATTTTTATATATAAATCCATATTTTATTTTAATATTTCAGTTTTATTACAGCTTGTTAAAAATAACTAATTATTTATTTCTGATTGAATAAATAAAATCGTCAACTGTAAATGGTACGACGGAAAGAACGGTCCTGTCGAAATATCTAAAAATTCAGCAAGATACAACAAATCTAAAAATAATTTTGTTGGATCATCAAAATAATTACGTAGGACGCTCAAACTGGTTGCTGGAATGTCCAAATTTTTTGCTGCATTATCTCATCAATGTTTGAATTTCCTATACATAATTATTTTAACGGTCCAAGAAAATTATTTTCAGATCTGCATCTAGCTAAATTTTTATACTTTAATAAAACTATGAATGTCAAACAATTCATAGCGAGAGACTCGCGTAGCTCTGCCACGTGACAACAACCCTCACCGCCGTTACAATTTCTCCTTATTATCATGATTAAACCAACAACCAAATTATCACGTGAACGGATACAAATTAAAAAAGAGTTAACTTTACTTCGATAAAAAGTATAAATTAAATAAATCGGATTTATACGTATACGCGGAATAATCTCAGTGTCATAATTATGCAAGTCTTCTCACCGACTTGGATTTTATAAATATCCAACAGATCTCAGTCATCAGTGACGTAACGTAACGAGACCTCAAACATGACGTAACCGAAGTTTCTGCGATAGTTTGTGTTGAAGTGCGACTGTTATTACGTATTCCAACTTTTTCTATAGCTCCGGTCGATTGACTGCTACATATGATGCTTTTTATATCGATTGGCTGCCACAAGCACTTGTAACGCTTTAGCGTTCTAAGGAGATTTGTCCTGTTGACACTGGATTTTATCACTTATAGATTAAATCACGCATTGTGTCATTTATTCTTATCGTTTTAGTTAACGAGTTTTTAATTAGAGAGAAATTCTCGTATCGCCATTAATCTTCTAATCGTCAATTATCTATATGGAAAAAAATGATATTAAATTAACAGCATTAACTAATAGCAGTTTAATGGAAAAATTTATTAACAATGTAAATATGTCAATTATATGCTATTATTTAATTATAATTTTAATCTTAATTCTAATTTTAATTTTAATAAAATAAATATGTGTCATGCTATTGTTTAAATTATAATTTTAACGTTAATATTTAATAAAATGTTTTATTAATACAATTAATTATTAATTAACAATATTATTTTCAATTAGACTATTGTTAACTAATGTTGTTAATATCATTTTTTTTCTGTATATAAATATGTAAATCACGTGATTTTTCGATCTTACATCTAATACTTGAGTCGCACTAATTAGGTATACCACTTACGAAGCGAGAGGATATGCGTATAGATCACAAAATTGTCGTATTATCAGGAAGCGACGCTCGATCAATTTGCCCGAATAATCGATCAAGCGCATTTCACGGGCCGCGGATAGAGCACACACTGGACTATATCATAAATTAGATCGGGGAAAGCGCGCGATGTGATGTGCTGATAAGTAATCGAGCACATTTATCAAATGTTTGCTTTACCGCGGACAAGACCGGGCAAGACGCGTTGCAATTATACATATCATGTTTCTCTGTTATCGATTCTCTCAAAAACTACACGTAGATAATTTCAATGGTATGACACATTTTGCGCGTTTGCAATTAACCGCGATAATAAAAGAACAAAGAAAAAAATTGACAATACAAGGAGAATGAAATTGATTCGACATGTAGTACGAGTCGATTACTTTAAAATTACGTTTTTATTTATGCAAGGATTGTTGATTTTTTATGTATATACATAATTACGTCATAGTTTATTCAAGAAGCATAATTTTGGCATTTCATCTTTCCAAAAAGATATACAGAGTAAAAAATGTTTTCAACAATTTGCGATTAAAAAAATATTTTTGTAAACTGAAGCATTCGAACTTTTCCACTATATCGTATTTCTACTTTATAAAATAAAATTTATTTTTATTTTATTAAAAAACGTTCAGGCAAATACTATGCTAGGAAAATAGCATTTGAATACAAAAAAATGGACGAAAAGACATTTGACCAGGCATTTGTCGAGTGTCTAGTAAAAAATTTCCTATTTTCCTAAAATAACTGTTGTCTATACGGCATACGTACGATAAGGTTCACGTGCTCAAATGTGTTAATTTGTGTTTTTTTTTTAAAGAAAGCAACCGTATACATAGTTGCATATTTGCATATTTTTTTGTCTTTTATTTTTACTTCCAGAACACACGTTGGAATCAAGGTTTGCTCGATCATTTGCACGAATAGGAGATGAAAATTTAAATAATTATATTAAATAATAATATAAATTTGGTAAAACTTTATGAGTCTTTATATCTCTGAATCGCTAAGATTAATTTGTTTTGTATTTGTCATGTTTATATGTAAGTTTATATATAATTTTCCTCGAGATCGCAAACAAATAGGTTTATTGAACCGATTTAACTTCTCAAGCTCACTAAAAATGAAATTTTCTTTGCGATTCTTTGCGCGTGACTGTGATTTTCGAGAATAAAAATTATCTACTAAATCTCCGTGTGTTCTTTTTCCTTAATTTACTGCGCCCGAATCTACCGCGTGCAGCTGTACGTTCCTGCAACAGTTTCCGGGCGGCCACTGTTTTTACCTTGACTTTCAGTCACGAGATAATTCACAATCCGTTACTTCCACCAACTTCTATTTCGCGATAGGACCGTCAAGATGATCATTATGCGAAATAACATCGCTTTGTATCCAATTTAATTTAAAAAAACGCGGAAAAATGTTACAAACAAGAACTTATTCCGAATATTAACATTTTCTCGTCACATAATAATGGGTTTCGAAGAGCGTTGAATAATTATTTACTAGAGAGAAAGGAGATAACGTCGAGATGTGATAAGAATCACTTATCTATGTCAATTTTTATTTTGCAGCTAAAGCTAATGATCGATTTGATTTACTTGAAGAAATCTGAGGAAATGCTAAAACAAATCAAAATTTATCCGGAGAGTTCTCTTTTTATTTGAGGGTTCTGACACCAATGTTTAATCAATCGTATATCAATATTTCTCAATAACTAGCTCAAGGTAAAGATTCCCGAGATATGGATTACCACCTACACACGGTGAATTACTGAACACTAAGATGTGGAGATATTTTTCAGCAGCACCGCGAAACTTCATCAAATCAAACGGAACGACGAGCGTCGCACAAAAGAAAGATCTCCAATTCCGGCAACGGTCAAGGTCATGAACGAGGCAGTTGAAGGCCTCGAGAAAGGGGATAAGAGAATGAATCGTCGCCAGCGGCGGGAACACCTGGACGACAAAAGCGGACGGTAAATAGCTTCGCCACGGCAAGTCTGGCTTCGCCTGCTATCGATCGCTGGTCGTCGGGGCGCTCCTATTTTCAGCACCGCACATTACGAGCACCCGAGTCATCCTGCGAGTCAGATTACACGAACGGTTTCTCTTTCTTTCTCCGGGGATGCTCGGTATCCTCCCTGGGCATCCTGACGAAGACTTCAGGGCGCTCGCCCCGTTGTCACACGTTATTCGTGTCGCTTGCCGTTTGACTGTCCGTCGGCAATCCGTGCGGTTCGCAATGTCCACAGATTTGTAAACCTTCCGACTGCGAGGTAGCGGCGGTTTCGAAGGTCGAGAGTAAAAATTTCCCTCTGGTACTCACAATATAGACCTCTGCAGGACGAACATCTCTCGCTGTCCTCGTGTGCACGCAGCTGATCACACCTCCCACCCGACAGGATCCACACGCGACTGCGCGTTCTCGAAGGTGCCAGCGGCGTTGTGCTGCCTCTACCACTGGCTCTGCCTGTGCTGTGCTATGCGTCGCGCTCGCGTCGCGTCGCGACTCGCGAGGGTACGTGGTTCATCGGCGGCGCGACATAGGCGCGCTGAAAGGTGCGCACCGACGGCGTTGCGCTTCAAGTAATATAAGGATGCGGTCCAATCGACGTGATTTGCTTTCTGATTTTGCGTTTTCCGTTTTGCTTGAAACGCGACGTATTTGTATTAGGGCTGTTACTTTTTACTTACTTCGAATATTCGAAGCTTCGAAGTTAACTTCGACCTTTTAATGTTTAAGCTGTCTTCGAAGCTTCGAAGTTTCGAAAAATACATTCGTGCAAATTTGATTAAAAAATTAATAATTTTACGATTTTTAAATTTTCTGTTTTTAAGATTGTTTTATTCTGAGGAAGATTTAATGACGCCAAAACAATTACATTAATTTATTATATTTTTGTTCATTTATTTAAGAATAAATTTATTTTTTTTTATTTTCTTAAATTAACTGTTTTATTGATCATTATCTTTCCTTATTTGCATATGTATCAAGTTTAATTATTAATTTGTAGTATTTCAGGTTTTAATACTCTTTCAAATTTTTAAGAATAATTACGTATATATTTTGAGCATATGTATTAATTTTATTTACAATATTTGTAAATTTTCTGAATAAATTCATTTGCACGAATGTATTTTTCGAAACTTTGAAACTTTGAAGCTTCGAAAGAATTCGAAGATTTTAATGCCGAAGCTTTAAATCTTCAAAGCTTCGAAGTTTAAATGTCGAAGCCTTCAAAGCAAATCACCAGCCCTAATTTGTATACGGAACTTATTGTTAGAGGAAAAAAAGAGTAAATTATATACACACGCATACACACGCGCGCGCGCGCGGATTCCATATGTAGCGCGTGATTAATCTTTACATAAAAAAACTTGATTACATCGATTATTATCGATGTGCAGCGCGATATGGAAAAACATTCCTCGTCGAATTTCTCAATTTTCTGATAAATATAAATAATTTAATCCTCTGTGTTGCATAGTGTCACATATATAGAACTTTTGTCTAAAACTTTCTCAAAATTGGATAGTCAATTATAATATCATCTTAATATATTGTACTGATAATATATTGTGAGTACATATTTGTGTCAAGTTTAATATTGTAATATTAACATAATATTATGGTATGTGTATAAATAAAATATTTAAATTTAATTATATAGTTAGATATTATTTTTGCATAATGACAGCTGTCTATGTGAAAAAAGATTAAAATATTTTATAAAAGCATACAATTGATTTTAGGTATATAATATATATCTGCTCTAAAATCTATGCCATCTTCAATTATGACATCAGAGGTGGAAACAATGGATAAATTATAGAAAATAATATATTACAAATTCTCCTTTCTTCTTCTCAATCCTTTCACTCTTATCAGAGCGTGGTGACTTCTCATTGTATTTCTGCGACATGCGGCGCGTTACTTACAATTTACGCAGATATAGGTACGGGATCTACCAAGCATAGCACACAGAATTCAAAAAAGAATTTATTCGCATATTCAATCGTATGTCATCAATTCTGAGTTCATTAATTTTCAGGTACAAAAAGAATTCCTTTTCAAAATTTTTAGAAAAAGAATTCTTTTTACATCTGAAAATTAACTCATCAGAATTGATAATATATGACTGACAATAAGTTCTTTTTGAACTCTCTGTACTACCTGGTATATATACAGTTTAATGTCGATTTTGAGAGGGATTCTCATGGCAAGACATACTTTCGATGGTTGTTTGCCATTGTCTTCCGAAAATTTGATATAAATTCTCCCTATCTCTCATAAAATTTCATTGATTGGATTATTTAGCGAGTAATTAATTACTTTGATTTTTTAATGCGTTTTTTTCGACTTCACTATTTCTGACATTCATCTGGAATGGCTTGGTATATTGCACTGTTTGAGAGAGAAAGTTGCAAATATTGTTATCTCGTTGCAAATATTCAAACTTATTAATTCTAATTTATTCTAATTTACGGAATAATAGAATTTAAACGGAAAAATAGAATTTAATAAGAGAGAGTTAAAATAACCAGTTGCCCTGACAAATATAAAAGTTGGATCAGCATAAGTTGAATATAGAAAGTGACAGAAATGAAACTTCTAAGAAACGTATTTGAAATATATAAACGTAAAATAGGCGTTTATCTCTTGAAACACATCTTTTACTTTCCGGTGTTTCAATTTACACTTCCTAAAAGTTTCATTTCTGTCACCCTCTAATTACACTTATGCTCCGATCTTTATTTTTATCAGAGAGATATTAAAAATTAATGTGTAATTAATTTTCATTAATGTAATTAATTTTCAATAAATTAATGTGTAATTAATTTTCATTAATGTGTAATTAATTTTCATTAATGTAATTAATTTTCATTAATAATCCTTTTATACATGCGCGTTGTATACATTTTGATTTTTTTTTGTATGTTGTTACATTAATTTGATATATTTTAAGGATAATAAGTCAGTTTATTCGTTTATACGAAACGTAATAATAGTACAGTTATATCGTGCGCGTGCGCACATACATATTTATGGATAATAAATTATAAATATACTTAGCACTTTACCAGGGTTGGGTGATGCCTAGTTAAAAAGATAAAAGTTAAGTTAAAATTTTAAATTTTAACTTAGTTTTTAGACTCTTAATTTTTAACTTAATTTAGTTACATTTTATCAGTAACTATTGATTTTTAATTTAACTTTCTTGAGGTTGCGCTTTTAGCGCTTCTTATGTAAACCCAAGAAAAAACTACGTCGTACAAAATATCTATGTTGATACTTCGAACTCGAATTTAAAAACGCATATCAAGGCAAGAATTTTTAAAATAATGAGAATTTAACAAAAATTTTACAGATTGTTCTTATGTATATTGAAAGACTTTAAGACAAAAGCTGGAGTCGATTCACTGAAGTAATCCAAAGTTATAAGGATTTTAATTTGAATTTTTAGGTTAGATTTGGCCATAGAATTCGAAAATTCTCAGGAAAAAAGCAACAAAAACATTTCTGCGCTCTAATTCTGAATAAATGATAACATTCTGCACAATCCTTATTACTCAACTATATGAGAAGAGCATATTCATCAAAATCAGTCCTTTAATTTTTTGCTACTATTGTATGTATTAAACACCCTTAAGTACGTACCCAGTGAGAAATGGTTTTTAATTCAATGTCGAATTGATGTCGAAATCATCGTATCGATGTCAATTCGATTCGATATCGAATTGGCGATCGTTTCTCACTGGTAGTAGGTGACATTCTTTTAGCCGCTCCATCTATAAATTTTAACTTATATGTTCAATTCTTTACACGATCGATTTAAAATTTACTATTGAGATAGGTAATGATGACCGGCTTAATTTTCTTGACATTAAGATTATTATTGACAATCATCATGAGATAATTTTTGATCGATTCACTAAGCCAACATGTTTTGGTAGGATTTTAAATTTTCATTCTCAGCATCCAACTTGTTACAAAAGAGGAGTATATATAGTGTTCTGCTTGGCGGACTGGATAATTTTAATTAATGTTAATAACTATTTCATGATGAAATCTTATAAAATTTTTCTTTCATAACTAAGAAATATAAAATAATTATTGTTTGAATGATTTTCTTATAAAAATATTAAAAACGTACACAGCCGTCGAAAAATTTCCGGAGTAGCAAAATTTTGATATTTGGAGTTTTAAGCTGTTGAACTTGTTAGTGCTGTTGAACTTGTTAGCTAAATCAAAGAGTAGATAATTTTATCGTTTTAAGAGATACTTTAAGATACCCTGTATCGATTTTAAGTTTAATGCATTTCTACTACTGTAAACTCTTAAATCTGAAATATATTTGCCATACTGAAAATTACAATGTTTGATGGAATGCGCTTTACTTGCGAAAATTTTGTCGGGGATGCCGTTTGGGCGGGTTTGCAGCATCATAAAGCTCGAATTTTCCTCTTTAATTTGAAAAAAATGCAAGTTATTACGATTTTTTGTCGCAAAGTTAAAATATTTTAAAGTAATAACCCTTGCATTTTTTTTATGTACGATCAGCATTATTCAATGTGCGCTACAGGGAAGTTGGTTATCGGATTTTGCACATTGTGTACGTTTACGTGTGTATAAAACACACACACACACATACACACACCATGTGCAAAATTCAATCGTCAACCTCCCTGTGGTGTATGTACATTGAGTAAAGCCGAGCGTATGTACATGAAAATATATAAAGGTTACAATAAAATGCAATGTAACTTTGCGACTTGCAGTTTTTTCAAATTAAAGAAGAAGATTCGAGCTTTATAACGCTGCAAACGGCATCTCCGAGAAAAAATTTTGCAAGTAAATTAAGCATTCAATGTTTGACGCATTCCGTCAAACATTGCAATTTTCAATATGGCAAACATCATGCTTTCAGATTTAAGAGTTTACAGTAGGGATACACTAAACTTAAAATCGATACAAAATATCTTAAAGTATCTCTCAAAATGATAAAATTATTTTATACTCTTTAATTTAGCACAGTGCTGCAATAAGTTCAATGGCTAAAAACTCTAAACATAAAAATTTTGCTAGGTTCCGAAAATTTTTCGGTTGAAGTGTATGTAAAAAAATTTTTGCATATATTTGGTGCATGCTGCTATCTCTTCTTGATCCAATACAGTTTTACATTGTGTTGTACTTATTTGTATTTTATTGTCGTTATTTTAATTATCGATGTTATTGTGTGTTAAAAAAGATATTTTTTCATCGATCTTTTTGATCTGATCTATTACAAATATATTCATTAACATCATTGAATAATCATAGATTATCATGAAGTGTCTACATTTCCCGATCACAGAATTTACGCAACGTTGATACAGGCGATCGTGGCTTGGATCGATGGGGGACCGTGTTAGATTTAATATTAGTTTCAGAGGAATGATCTCCTTACAAACTCGACGTAAATTGTTTTTTTTGTTTTATAACGGTTTTTATTCTTTCGTAAACGGTTTCATAAACGTTTATTTAAGGATGTTTGGGATGTACAATATCAGCTAAAAGCTATCAAAATTTAAAATTTACAATTCTTAGGTTCGTATCGTCTAAAAATAAAATAAATAATTACTTTACATTACATAAGAAGTTAAACTTTCGTGAAATAATATGATTTTTCATGTCTTCAAGAATAGAAATATTTATAATTAATATTTTTTTAAATCAACGATAAAAAATTTTGATCGCGAATATGCCCTGAAATCAACTGTAGAAACGAAATAATAAATAATTTATAAGATGATTATAGGTCATTAAATCAGTTATATATATATTAAATTAATAATTTTAGAACAAATATATGTCTAAAATATATTATGGAGTCTTTCAGCTGACGATTAGAAGAAAAGAGTAATTGAAAGTAATAATTAACAGAACGATTTATTTAATTAAAGCTGACAAAATATGTTTGAACGTTTTCGCTCTCACTTCTCAGAAATAGTCTGACGTTTCTCTCGCTCTCTAAAACATCACACAATCTCATTATTCGCCGTTTATTGTCTTATCGCTTAATCAATATTATACTCTTACATACTAGTGTTCCAACATACTTAACCCGACGCAGATCTTACTTAGATCAAATCCCTACAATATTATTGTAAAATATGACAATATCGCATTATTTTCTACGTTGGCATTATCGTTTATCAAGTTTCAGGTGTAGAAAGTGTTTCGAGTATAATGTGCTTTGAATCTCGTGAATCTTCTAAAATGTCAAAAAATAATAAATATCGTTGAAAAGGAAAATGAGTATTACATGAAAATAACTATTTGCGTCATCAAAAATTAAAAAGTATCGACCGAGGGGGTAACCACTCAGAAAATATAT